GATTTAAATAACCAGGGATGTCTATCAAGATGGTCCCTAACTTATGTTGAAATCTGTAGTTGAGCCACGGGATACAGTCTTGTGGATCGAGCCTCAGCTCGGTCCAACGTTGTGCACTTGAGAAAGGCACCTTAAAAAAATTTCCCATTTGGCGCTGTCCTTTCGGAGATGGACGTTAAACTCGGAGGTCCCGAGTTGATATGGGCGTTAAAGCTACACTATTTCACAATTTTTCTATATTAATTAGTTACCTTGAGAGTCATTACTAGACGAATCAGATTCGACTGTGACTTTAATAAGTATCAAACACTATTTGTGTGAAAAAGGGAAACAATTTTGATTTAAGAAATTGTTATTCACAATAGTGGAATTCACTTCAAAGGGAAAAATCGAAATGTGTGTTGCCGTCACTTAGTTTCTGCATAATCGATACGACATGGGATAAGAGTGAACTCACCTAACATATCCGTCAAACTTCTGCAACCAATCACATTTTCTGAGATTTACGCTAACGTTGTAGTGAAATACGACCCTAATCCCGAAATTCAGACGCCGCATCTGTTATAATCAGACTGTAAGCCGACAAATGAATCAGGTTGCTATGACTTTTGACGGGAGTTTCTGTCAACCTTGTCCTGCAATTCAAGACGTTAGAAAAGGATAATTGAGCAAAATTAGTGGTAAAGCGGACACAAAATTAGTTGTTAGTTGAGACAATTGGATTGTCGCCCCCTGCGATATGGGGTTTTGTGTGTGAGTGTGTGTGTGTGTGTGTGTGTGTGTGTGTGTGTGTGTGTGTGTGTGTGTGTGTGTGTGTGTGTGTGTGTGTGTTTGTGAAGAATTGGATGACATTATTATCATCATTATTATTATTATTATTACAACCACTTTACTCCTCGTCAGTTGGCCTTCTTGGAGAATTCAAATCGTGCTGAAATCAGGCGCTCGTCAAAATGATGAAATTTTTAAAAAAATCAGTAATTTTATGGACCTTTTTGAAATTGTTTTGAAATGTTCTTTTTTGGCTCCATCTATCTCACATTCATGTGTGGATTTTACTGAAAAACATTGATCTAAGACACAAAAGATGTAAATTTAGTATTTTTTCAGGACTCTCAAGCTCTGGTAGTCACCAAACTTTGTCGGCCATGTTCTCGCTAATTTTACTCCATCAATTGCAAATGTCTCGACTCCTATTCAAGATAAATGTGTAATTTTTTTCAACGAAAGCAAGACAAATTAACAAGCTTTTTGATGATACCAATAGCCCCACAGGCTCCCAAATTGACGAGCGCTTG